TGGAAACTGTGTTTGACGAATCTATTGTAGTTTTTTTTAAGGCTGCGGATAAAGGGAAACTGCTGTTTATACTTTATCTAGATTTCCAAAAGTCTTTTGAGAAAATGCCTCATCAGAGGTAATTGCAGACAATAAAGTTCAGTGTTGGGAGTGGTATATTCATATGGACAGAAGATTGGCTGACTAACAGGAAATAAAATGTTGGCATAAAAATGCCTTCTTCAGGTTGTCAAGATGTAGCGATTGGTGTGCCATAGAAATCAGCGCAGAGACTGCAACTGTTTACAATTTATATAGGTGACTTAGATGAAGTGACGGAAGGATTGGACGCCAAATTTGGTGATGATATAAAGATAGGTAGAAAATTATGAAGAGGAGGCTATAGTGAGTGGACAAAGATCTACCAAGCCAAGAATATTGTGGGAAAAGGTGGAATTGTCTATTTTTGCAGAAAGAAGAAAAAAAATAATCTAATGATGAGAGACTGCAGAATGATGAGATGCAGCGGGATCTTGGGTGTCTCAGTTTATGAATCACAAAAGGTTTGAATGCATGTACTTAGGAAAGGTAATAAAATGTTATAACTTATCGTGATGAGAACTGAATACCAAAGTAGGTTACACTTCAGTTATACAGGATACGAGGGAGTCTACAACTGTTGTACTGTGCAAAGTATTGGTCACTTTAAGAAAGGAAGGATGTAAATGTGTTGCAAGCAGCTCAATGAAGATTTACCAGACTAATAATACCTGAAATATGCAGGGTGTCTTCACAGGAAAGGTTGGACATGTTCAGCTTGAATAAACTGAAGTTTAGAAGAGGAAGATGTGACATGATTGAAACACAACCACAGAATTGTTACAACACAAAAGGGGCCATTTGGCCCATTATGCCAGCACTGGCTCTTTAAACAAGCATCATTACATACTGCCAATCTCCTGATTTTTCTTCATACGCTTGCACATTATTCCTATCCAAATAGTCATTGAAAGCCATTTTGAATGTCTCAACTGAACTTGCCTCCACCACATTTCCAGGCCATGCATTCCATACCCTAAATACTCGCAGCGTGAGAAAAAATTTTCTCAACACCCTTGCTTTTTTTGCATATCAGTTTAAATCTATGCCTTTTCCTTGTTCCTTTTATGAATGAGAACAGTTTCTCACTATCTGCTCAATCTAGTCATCTTCTGATTTTGAAAATCTGTACCAAACCTCCTCAGATCCTCCTTCTCTCTGGGAAGAACAGTCCCAACTCTTCAATCCATCCTGTATCTGAAGTTTCTCATTCCCGGAACTATTCTTGTAAATTGCTTCTGAACTGTGTCCAATGCATTCATACCTTTCTTATAGTGTGGCATCCACAACTGTACACAATAGTCCAAGTGAGGTCTAATACAAGCTGAGGGCTTATACATTTCAACATATCTCTTTGCTCTTGTACTCTATACCTCTATTAATGAAGCTGAGGAAACCGTATGCTGTATTAAGTACACTCTCCACCTGTCCTGCCACCTTCAAAGATCTGTGCACATACTCACCCAGGTCTCTCCATTCCTGCATCCCTTTAGAAATGGATCTCCTATTTCATATTGCCTTTCAATGTTCTTCCTACCAAAATGCATCACTTCACACTTCTCTGAATTGAACTTCATCTGCCACCCATCCACCTACTCTACCAATTCCTACCGGAGTTCCACACTGCCCTCATCACAGTTTACAATTCTTCCAAGTTTTGTGTCATCTGCAAACATTGAAACTGTCCCTTGCACACTGAGATCCAGATCATTAACATATATCAGGTGAAGCTCATGTTCCAATACAGAACCCTGGGAAACTCCACTACGAATCTTCCTCCAGCCCAAAAAATATCAGTTAACTATCATGCTCTGTTTTCTATCACACAGCCAATTTTATATTCACATTGTCCGTGACCCTTCTATAGCATGCCCTATAACTTCCACCACAAGTCTGTTGTGTGGCACTGTATCAAATGGCTGATAACATGCTGAAAGAGGTTTAACAGGGTAGATGTGGAGAGGATGCTTTCTCTTATATGAGAAGCTAGAACTAGGGGGTCACTGTGTAAAAATAAGAAGTAGTCCATTTAAAACAAAGATTAGGCAAAAAGTTTTCTCTCTGAATTAATGAGTCTTTTGAACTTTCTTCCTGAAAATGCAGTGGAGGCACAGTCCGTTAATAATTTTAAGACTGAGGTAGATAAATTTTAGTTCAGCAAGTAGGTGAAAGTTTTATCAGTGTGGGCAGGAATTTCAATGAGAGGTTACAATCAGACCAGCCATTGTTTATTTAATGGCAGAGCAGTCTAGAAAGCTGACTGGCTTATTCCTGGAAAAAAACAAAAGAATTGCAGATGCTGGAAATCAGAAACAGTTGGAAAAGTTCAGTAGCTCTGGCAGCATCTGGAGAGAAATCAGAGTTAATGTTTCAGGTCAAGTGACCATTCCCCAGTTCTCCCCACAGATACTGCAAGACCTGCTGAGCTTTTCCAGTAATTTCTGGTTTTGTTTGTGGCTTACTCCTGGTCCTTGTTTGGATATTCATATCATTTCTCAGTTAAGGAACAGGCCTAAAGCCATCACTTCTGGTGCTGAAAAGTACCGAGTCTACGTCAGATTTCCCCAGAAGCATAAGGCATCTCAATCATTTGACTAACGGGTGAGGCTAGCTGCTTCATGCTGCTACTATGTAGGGGGAACACAAGTGGTGTTTGCTACTAAAAGGAAGGAACTGTCAAGCAAAAATGGTATTCTGCCTACCAAACAAATAGTCATACAGCACCAGAAAGAGACCCTTCGGTCCAACTTGCCTGTGCCGACCAGATAGTCCAATGTGACCTGGTCCCATTTTCCAGCATTTGACCCATATCCTTCTAAATCCTTCCTATTTATATAGCCATCCAGATGCCTTTTAAACATTGTAACTGTACCGGCCCCCACCATTTTCTCTCACAGCTTGTTCCATGCATGCACTACCCTCTGCATGAAAAATTTAACGCTCAAGTCCTTTTTAAATCTTTCCCCTCTCACCTTAAACCTTTGCCCTCTCACCACCTTAAGAAAAAGACCTTGGCTACTCACCCTCACCATGGCCCTCATGACTTTATAAACTTCTATAAGGTCACACCTCAGCCTCCAATGCTCCAGGGCAAAACGACCCAGCCTATTCAGCCTCTCCCTATAACTCAAATCTTCCAGTCCCAGCAACATCCTTGTAAATCTTTTCGGTACCCTCTCAGGTTTAAAAGCATCGTTCCTATACAGTGCAACTAGAATAGTACTCAGTATTCTGAAACTGGCCTCACCAATGTCCTGTTTAGCCGTAATATGACATTCCAAATTCAATACTCAATGTTCTTAGCTATGAAGGCAGATGTGCCAAATGCCTTCTTCACCACCGTCTACCTCCGACTCCACTTTCAAGGTATAAGCAACTGCAGCCCAGGTCTCTTTGTTCATCAACACTCCCCAGCACCCTACCATTAACTGTACAAGTTTGCCATACCAAAATGCATCTTTTCACATTTATCTAAATTTATCTATCCCTCAGCCCATTGGCCCATCTGAGTAATCGTTGTACATGAATTTCACTACTAGATTTTTCACTGAAAGATTGGTACTTTGTATCAAACAGGACATCATTTGGAGGTTTGCAATAAGCAAACTCTCACCAACCAGGCTACATTTATCAAGCTTAAAACATCATTGAGCATTAGAAGTAATTCTGCAAATGGGCAACATTTGCAAAATAATCCAGAATGCACAAAGAATTACAATAACAATCAATTTAGGATTGTCAGTCAAGCTCACAATATGACATACTTGCTCATAATGGAAGCTTCATATATTACTGCACAGTACCCTTTTTTTTGTCAATGAAAACAAATTGTACACAGTGCGCTTGTTTCAACTCAACAAAATGGGCGACAGCCATTCTGTTGTTCATTTCTCAGGGAAATACCTGGGCCAAAGTCAAACTGCCTCACTCAAGATTTAGACAAAGCTTGGCAGTTAACTTTAAGTTATCACCTAATTGATGCATTCTCCATGGCAACAACTCTCCCAATCTGAGTCCACTTAACAATCAATCAACACTTTCCTCTCACACAGTACAAATGTTGTTTTTTCCATAACATTGATATCTTGCAAATTGTTCTGATCACTGCAAGATGAAAAGTTTTGATGAAATGTGTCTTTCTCAGCAACACTGAGGCTCTATACTACTAAACAAAATTAAATCATGTGGATGTGAAACTAACACTATCAATCACACATGATGGGGCCTTCTGTGCTGAAGTATATTGTGATCCTGTAAAGTTAACAAGTATGCCAAGCTTCGAACTGAAAACATCTAATTCTAACTTATCCCTACATGAACATTTTGAAAGGTTAATGGAACAAAAACGTAAAACTTTATTTAGTCTTCTTCAAATTATCCTGTTAAGGTATTTTTAAAGAACCAAGAAGTAGTTTATACAGTGGATCCACACAAAGCTTACCTATATTTTGAGGCATCGATTTGGTCTTGGAAAGATAAAAATTTTCTGGTTTTTACTTCTTAAAGTAGTAGTCCCAACAACACAGTGAAATGTATGATAGTTTGTAAAATATAAAAACACTGCATTGCAATACTCAACATTAGAACCCATTTCAGCACTTCCACCCTAAACTGCGAATCTAATTTACTTTGGCAGTTGGAATCATCAAGAAGTGCTCTGCACTTAAGTCAGCCACATTGTACAGCCACTAGAATGAATTTTCTACAAAAGAATCTTTGTTGTACTCAACTCTTGCTTTCCCTTCAGTTTTGGTTCTGCTACATTAACACATTACTTTGCAGTACAGTTTAACACCAGTGTTCTGTGCCTTTACTTCCACATCTATACTTTCAAACCTATTTTCTACCTATAGATTTTAGTACCATTCCTTCCGCCTCTTCTTCTAATAATCCTTTACATTATGGCTGAAATCATCACTTACAGTACAACAGTATTGCAAAGCAAGTGCATTCAAGGTGTCGCCCTCTTGAATTTCCCGGAACAAATACACAATATCATCCAACCGATCTTTAGATGTTGTTCTTCGTATTTTTTCCTTTCCTCTTGGTCTCAGCTCAAAACATTCTGCATCCTCTTCTGAAAGTTCATTTTCTGAAGGTGTGCCACTTGCAAACACGTAAACATTGCCTCCTAGTGCAGGCTGAATGGTAGCCGGCAAGAAACGAGTTTGACTTCTCCCTGCCATGGTCAACTGTAAAGAAATTTAATTTAATTAGTCTAATACTGCAGTAACAAAAGTAAGCAACTATTTTAAGAAGTGAACGAGCATGAGGAAGGCCAGTAAATCCTTTGCCTTCTGATTCAGGGATGCTGACGTTATATGTGGAATCCAACTGCTCTGCTGGCTAAGAACAACTCAAACAAGAGATGAAATCTAAAAATAAAGAACTGCAGATGCTGGAAGTCTGAAACAACAGGAAGTGCTGGAGGAACTCAGCAGGTCTAGCTACGTCTATAGAAAGAAAGTGATAAAATCTGATTGGCTCTGTTTTCAATGACTAAACATAGAGATAGGTGAATAGCTAGGGTCTTCTCCACGATAGGGGAGTCCAAAACTAGATGGCATAGGTTTAATGTAAGAGGGGAAAGATTTAAAAGGGATCTAAAGGGCAACTTTTTCATGCAGAGGGTGATGAATGTGTGCAATGAGCTGCCAGAGGAAGTGGTAGAGGCTGATACAATAACAACATTTAAAAGGCATTTGGATGGGTACATGAATACGAAGGGTTGAAGAGGGATATGGGCCAAATGCTGGCAAATGGGACGAGATTAATTTAGGGATTTCTGGTTGGCATGGACGAGTTAGATTGAAGGGTCTGTTTCCGTGCTGTACAACTCTATGACTCTACGACACAAATATTTTAAAATACAGGTTACCACTTAGGCAATGCCAGTTAGAATCGTTAATACATTTTTGTGTATAATAGTATTTTGAGTTCAAACAAACGGTTAGGATCCGGAAAAGTTAATAGAATGGAACTAATGACCCAGGATGTACACAAATGTAAAGAAATGAAAAGGAACCAGAGCCAAACTCCTGGAGGTTACCATCTCAGTGATAAATGAAATGGTTTCCTACTTTATACCACATCAATGTTTACTTACATTTCCCTAAATCCGCTGCTTAAAAGCTATGTGAACAAAAAATCTTGAAATACAGTTACAACTAGGTTTATCGACAAGTGCAATATCAAACTTTTATTTTTCTAATCCATACCTCCAGATATAAAACCAGAGAAGCTGTTTGACTTTGTTATGGTTGTGCTAGCATGATACTTTTAATGTCCAGATTATCTCCAAAGCACTGTACATTACTTATTAGTCAATGAAACTGCACCATTTGGAAATTAAGCATACAACATATGTCTCTCCTCTCAGTTTTTGGTTGCAAATCTTGTTCATCTTACTTACTGGTTGTCACTCTAATATAGCGCCATATTGAAATATTAAGATCTTCCTTGGGGAGAGGTCAGTCTCTGACCTTACCATGAACATCCAAAGACCCAGCCCACCGGGCAAAAGACAATAAGACATAGAAACAGAAGTAGCCCATTAGACTGATCACATATGCTTTGTCCTCCGATGAAATCATGGTAGATCTCACAAACCTCAACTCCACTTTCCTGACTTTCACCATAATCTTTGATTCACCTACTCATTAAAAATTTGTTCATCGCCGTCTTGAACATACTTAACAACACTGCAGTGAAAAATTCCATATTTCTACTACATTCAGAAGAAATTCTTCCTCATCTCTGTTCTAACTGGGTGACTCCTTACTCTAAGGTTATGCCCTCTGGTCTTGGAATTCATAAGCTAATCCCTCCATATCTGGGATCAACCTAATGAATCTTACCTGGACTGTCTAAGACAGTTTTAACAAGACTTCCTCATTTTTATACTCCATTCTTTTTGATATAAAGAACAAAATTCCATTTGCTTTCTTTTTTGCCTGTTAAATTTATATGCAAGTTGTTACTATATTGTAAATAATTGGGGGCCCAACACTGATCCTTGTTAAAAACCAAACGAACTGCAAATGCTGTAAATCAGAAACAAAAACAGAAATTGCTGGAAAAGCTCAACAATTCTGGCAGTATCTGTGAACAGCAATCAACGTTAACGTTTCAGGTTGCGTTCTGAGGAAGGGTCACTTGATTGCTCTTCACAGATGCTGCCAGACCTGCTGCACGTCATCAGTTACAGGCTGCCATCCTGAAAATGCACCCCTTAACCCAATTGTCTACTGACAATTAGTCAATCCTCTAATCATGCTAATATATTACTTCAAACACCATTTATGTTATTAAATAGCATTATGAGCTGTGCCTTATCAAACACTTTTTGGAAATCCAAATCTTTGGTACCCACTGGTTCCTCTTTATCTATCCTACTTGTTACCACCTCAAAAGAACTCTTAATAAGTTTGTCAGGTGTCATTTCCTCTTCATGAAGCCATGATCGCTCTGCTTGATTATATTTTGTGTTTCTAAATGCTCTGCTATTACATCTTTTACAATAGAAACTAACATTTCCCCAATAACAGGTTTTGAGCTAACTGCCTACAGTTTACTTTGTTTCCCTATCATTTTGAATGTGTGTTCCACCGATAGCTTTTCAGTCCTCTGGGCTTTTTCCAGATTTAGAAGATTCTTAGAGTCAAAGACTCATAGAACCATGCAGCAGAGAAACAGGTCCATCAGCCCAACATGTCTATGCCAACCAATAGACACCAAACTACACTAATCCATTTACCTGTACTCGGTCCAAATCCTAGTGTGCACTAGCATTTTAAGTTGCTCATCCCAATGCTTCTTAAATGTTACCAGAGTAGCGGTCTCCACTAACTTCTTGGGCAGCACATTCCATAGATCTACCATCCTCTGGGTGAAAACAAGAATTAAACTTATGCCCTTTGGTCTTAGGCCTGCCATAGGGAAAAAATTCTCAGGATCGACTGCGTGCGCCTCTGGTAATTTTGCAAACCTCAATGAGATTCCCCTCCCCCCAGCCTCCTGTACTCCAAACAAAACAAAACAAACCCAACCGAGTCAGTTTCTCCTCACAGCTGGAAGATTACCACAGCACTATCCACTATCTCGGTATATCTACTCCTTTGAATATCAGAGGATGTATCCCATCACATCGAGAGCTCTCATCAACCTACGGCTCCTATTAGCTTCCCTCACAACTGTTCAACAGTGACAGCCGCTGTCCCCTCGGCCCCCCACCCCTGGGGAGTTTGGGGCTCTCTCTCGGGTCCTGGGGGGGGGGGGGGGGGTGGAAGGGGTTGGTTTGGGCTCTCTCTCGGGTCCGTGGTGACAGTGGATGGGGTTGGTTTGGACTCTCTCTCGGGTCCGTGGTGATGGTGGATGGGGTTGGTTTGGGCTCTCTCTCGGGTCCTGGCAGGGAGGGGGTGGAAGGTGTTGGTTTGGGCTCTCTCTCGGGTCCTGGCGGGGAGGGGGTGGAAGGTGTTGGTTTGGGCTCTCTCTCGGGTCCGGGGTGATAGTGGATGGGGTTGGTTTGGACTCTCTCTCGGGTCCCCGGGCGGTAGCTGCTGATTCCTGAAGGAGCGGCCTGACGCCAGGGACTCACCTGTCCGCTCTCCCGGCTTCATGTTTTCACCGAGCCGAGCCACGTCGCCGGGTGATGGCGGAAGGAGCCAGGCATCGCCGTGTTGTCGGCGGGCAGTCCCCCAGCCCGAGGCCGGGCTCTCTACTCGGACTGACTCTAAAAATACCCGCTCTCCTCTCACTCCCTCTCTCTCCGAACTTTGATGTTCCTCAAACTGCCAGATCAGCCAAACCGTGTGATCTCGCGAGGGTGAAAGCGTGAAGTCAGTGTTTGCGACTGGGACTGGGATTGGGGATATTTAGACATTGGGATTGGGGATATTTAGACGTTGGGATTGGGGATATTTAGATGTTGGGATTGGGTTTGTTAAAATATTGAGATCGGGGATATTTAGACGGTGGGATTGGGATTGTTAAAATATTAGGATTGGGGATATTTAGACGTTGGGATTGGGGTTGTTAAAATATTGGGATTGGGGATATTTAGACTTTAGGATTGGGGTTATTAAAATCTTGGGATTGGGGATATTTAGATATTGGGATTGTTAAAATATTAGGATTGGGAATATTTAGTTATTAGGATTGAGGTTATTAAAGTATTGGGATTGGGAATATTGGGTTATTGAGATTATTGAGACATTGGAGATGGGGTTATTGGCATTGTGGTTATTGAGTTATAGGGTTGGGGTTGTTAAAATATTGGAATTGGGGATATTTAGATATTGGGATTGTTAAAATATTAGGATTGGGAATATTTAGTTATTAGGATTGAGGTTATTAAAGTATTGGGATTGGGAATATTGGGCTATTGAGATTATTGAGACATTGGAGATGGGGTTATTGGGTTATTGGCATTGTGGTTATTGAGTTATAGGGTTGGGGTTATTAAAATATTGGGATAGGGTATACTTAGATTTATTGGGATTGGGATTATTGGAATTGGGGTTGTTAAAATTTTGGGATTGGGTTAGCGAGGTATTGTTTTGGGGATATTGAGTTATTGGGTTTGGGTTTTTAGAGATTATTATGTTTGGAATTATTAAGGATCGAATTTAGGCTATCGATCTGTGGGCGTGAAGTTTCAGAAACGTTTCTTACGACTGAATTTCATGTTCAAGCAGATATGCTGTTGTAGATCTAGCTCTTTTATAGTTTCTCAGGTCTCGCCAAAGCTGGTGACATGGTTTTCAAAGCTGAGTCAATGTTAGTAAACACAGCAGCCAAAGTCCACAGCAAGATTTCCTTGTTCTTCTTTGTCATCGGCCATTCTTCAACTTGAGAATGAAACCAAGCATTGCAGGTTTCTACTGTGGGTCTTCATTGTAGCTGAACAGGCCAAATTTTGACCTGAAAATCTCTGCTTTCACATGGTGTTGGATGATCTATGAGGTAATGAGATCCAAACATAGAATTTGTTTCCATTTAGTATCATAGAGGTTTTACTGTACAGAAAGAGGCCTCTTGGTCCATTGTGTTAATTGATCACAAACATCCATCAATTGTAATCCCATTTTCCAGCACTTGGCCTGTAGCCTTGTATGCATCACTTTCCTAATCTGCAACATCATGTAAACGTTTAGACTCAAAGGATAGGGATGCAGTGTGATGGACAAATTGTCGCTAGATGCTTGGTAGTGTGCTCCTCCCAATCATTAATGCCAATTCTGACACTCTTCAAAGAGAGCATCTTTGTCCTCCAGTGGAATGTGAGCATTTGAGAGTTGAGAAAACAGGACTTATGGGGAGGTGCTTTGCATCCATGCAGACTCCATATCTAGACCATTGAATTTGATTTGGCATCACTTTTACCTGAACAGTGATGGAGATGGCTTCAAGAAGTGTCTGTTTGATGATCCATTGAATACAGAGGATGCAACAGGGACATCATTTGTCATGGTAGGTCATGTTGGTCTTTAGTAAGCTATAAACTTTAGTTAATGTACAACTGTTCAGTGATGTCTGTAATTCAACTACATCTAGGTCAACTTCCCTTTCTGCTTCTGTACATCTGTTCTGAAGAAGGGTTATTGGACTTGAAATGTTAACTCTGCTTTCTCTCCACAGTTGCTGCCAGTCCTGCTGAGTTTCTCCAGCTATTTCTGTTTCTGTTTCTCTCTGCTTGCCAGCTGCTTGCTGTCACGTGATGAGTTCTGATGAAAGACCTTCAATCTGAAAAGCTAACTCTGCTTCTTCCTTGCTGAATGTATGCAATATTCTATCTTTATTTTACTTAAGAATGAACTATACCCAGAAGCAGAAAAATGGGAAAAATTATTTATGGTAAAATAGTATTTGGAAAACAGTAAAGATAAAACTGTCCACAAGACATCAGTTAATCTTTTTTACTATGTATTTCTTACGCAGTGCAATAATGATGAAGAATTTTGGACAAAACAGTTTATTCCAGTTTGATGGGAAATTTCTACTTGCAGCAGCTCTATAATTTCTACTCGTTGAACTGAATATTAACTAAAATTGAACAGTTTTATTATCAAAGAATTCTTTTAAATGAAGGGTTGCATTTATGCATTAACTCCTTTCCTCAAGCATATAACTTAATGGAACGCCGAATTAAAGCATGATTTTCCACAAGTGCAATCGCTGACTGGAATTATCTGTCCACTCACTTGTTAAGATTGTTTTTGTCCAGATATGTGGCCAGATTGGCATGGCCTTGGTTTAATGCCTTTATTTGAAAGATGGCACAACCAGTAATGCAGCACAATCTCAATACTGCTTTGCATTGTCAGCTGTGTTATAGTCTTAATTTCTGAAGTTGAGCTGGGCCCACAACCATCTGTTGGGGGACAGTATTAATGCTGAAACAAGCTGGCTCTTTAATACACAATGTAAATTATGCCAGATATGAGAAGTTTAATGTCTTTGTTTTCTTCTATGCATAAGAAAGGGTTTCTTCCCAAAATGAATTAAATGTATTTTTTGATTGGTAACCAAGTTTTTCATTCCTCCAAAGATGTTATAATTTCTGAAAACCCAAGATTGTTATAAACACACATATTATGCTCAACATAACATCAGATAATTAAAACTAAAATGCAGAAATGTATTTAGTTGTACCTTTTTCATTATAAATTCCTATATTTAAAATTATTAACAGAAATTTATATGAAAAATATAATCCGTAATGTAGTCCAGCCACCAGGTGGACCCATCTTTGCTTCAATAAGTTCTCAGTGTGCTTACTGGAAGTTTTTTTTCCAATAGATTTTAATTCAAACATTTCCATTCAATATTCTTTGCTCAAAGACTTAAGTATCAAGTATCTAAAATTGAAGTGTAAGAGCTACAATTGCAAAACAACATGATTCAATTTGCCAATTGAGTTGCCTTCTTTTGCCTTTGACTTCAAATCTGAGCCAAAATGTCTGAATCTGTATTTGGGTAGAGCCAAGATGTTGGGAGCTGAATTTGGATTGTGCAGTCTGTGCATTTGCATGATGCACTCATTTCCTATGATTTATCTGTGCCATTCAGTCATTCATACTGCACAGATATTTTTCTTTGGCATCTTACAGTTTTTGCACAGGAAGTCGTGGGATGCAGTTGGTCATGCCTCCTGATTCTGAGGCAGAATTACTGAGATTAAGTCCCGCTCCAGGACTGGATGGCCGCAGAAGGTGCATTAGTAACTTGGTAAAACAGACTGATTATAAGCCTACAGATCTTTCCAGTACAACTGTGGGAGGTGGTAAGAGTAAGACAGTCTCCTGTTTAGGCAGAACCATGTTGTAGATGCAAAGCACCAATCTCCTAACTGTAAAATTCTGCCCACAAGTTCCTGCATCAGGCTGTACGCCATGGCAAGCATCCTCTTTGTTTTGTGGGCCACCCAGAAGAAGAACAGTTTCTATTTTGTTTATTCAGATACAGTTTGTATTAAGTTTGTTTTTGACAGAGATTGTATTTGTGTGTGTGGGAGGACCATTTGTATTTTTTAGTTTATGTTCCAAAAGTTTCAAACTCCATTTTAAGTTGTGTTGTTGCATGAATTATTTTTCATTCACGGCATGTGAGCGTCGCTGCCTGGCCAACATTTATTGCCCATCCCTAGTTACCATTGAGAAGGTGGTGCTGCCTTCTTGAACTGCTGCAATCCACTGGATGTGGGTTGACCCACATTGCTCTGAGGGAGGGAATTTCTGGATTTTGACCCAGCTTGTCTGTCATTTTTCTGCAATTCCCAACTCCACTGGTGCGGTTGCAGAGATGTTAGTGTGAAAGGACCTTCTTGTGGTCCTCTAACATCAGCAGCCTGCCCTTTGTTCCTCATTGGATGACAAGTCCATGCGTCATCGTTCACTGGCCTGGTCCTTATAAGAACTGGGACAACATTTCTACAGTTAATTTATTCTTGATTTAATCTTTCATGGATGTGGGTGTTGCTGGCAATTCCAGCATTTGTTACTAGAACTTAATTACCCTTGAACTGAGAATTCAGTTGCTGTGGGTCTGGAGACGTATGTCAAGTAACGATGATAAGTTTCCTTTCCTAAAAGGGATTACTGCATCAGATGGGTTATTACAACAATCAATAATAGTCTAATGGAGAATGAATCTGAGTTGCGTTGAGTTTTTTTGTGTGTTTGTTGCTGTGAGGCCGAGCAACTTCTCATGCCATATCATACCAACCTTGACACATTAATCATCTACCCCATTGCTACGGTGTCTGTCACATCTAGTTTCTATCCCATCATGCTACATACCTTCCCTGAAACAACTCGGCACTCACTGTATATCCACCAAAGACCAGCATCCTTTATCCACGCCACTTCAGAAAGGATGCCTTGCACTGGCCATGTGTTGGCAATTTGGTTTTGCCCCCACTGGCAATGTCACGGCACATCAGCCACAAAGCCATGCTGCTCATGGCACACAGGCAACATGGTTGATACTCATTCTCTCACCCTTGTCACTGTTTAACCACGACACCACAAGCTTCACCTCTTTCTAGCTGCATTCTGTTTAAACACCCTCTAAGTCAGCACTTGCCCTGGCACATTTACAACTGTAGAGCTGCATCTTCTCATTGTCCAGAAGGCAAACATCAAATACAGGCAAACAATTGAATAAATAAAAACACAAATGTGATTGGAAGAACATTCAAAGGACAATATAAAATAGGAGATATAATTCTAAGGGCCGGGGGTGCGGTGGGGGGTTGTGGGGGAGGGTGGGAGAGGTGCAGGAGTGGAGAGACCTGGATGAATACATGCACAGATCATTTAAGATTGCAGGACAGCTGGAGAAAGCAGT